GCTGGCATGGGATTTTTCACTGATGCCTATGATCTGTTTTGCATTTCTCTGGTCACTAAGTTGCTCGGCCGCATTTACTACCATGTCGATGGCTCTCCAAAGCCTGGGAGTCTACCTCCTAACGTCTCAGCTGCTGTCAATGGCGTCGCTTTCTGTGGTACCCTTGCGGGGCAACTCTTCTTTGGCTGGCTCGGTGACAAAATGGGCAGGAAAAAAGTCTATGGCATGACCCTTATGCTCATGTGCTTATGCTCAGTTGCTTCAGGTCTTTCTTTTGGTAGGGAGCCTAAGACTGTCTTGGCCACCCTTTGCTTCTTTCGCTTCTGGCTTGGTTTTGGAATTGGTGGTGATTACCCGCTTTCTGCTACTATTATGTCTGAATACGCCAACAAGAAGACTCGGGGTGCCTTTATTGCTGCTGTTTTCGCTATGCAAGGATTTGGAATCTTAGCAGGAGGAATCTTTGCCATCATTATTTCTGCTGCATTCCAGGCAAGTTTCAAGGCACCGGCTTATGAGGTGGATGCACTTGGCTCAACTGTCCCTCAAGCTGATTATGTGTGGAGGATTATATTGATGGTTGGGGCAGTTCCTGCTCTTCTCACTTACTACTGGAGGATGAAGATGCCTGAAACTGCGCGTTACACTGCTCTCGTTGCCAAGAATGTTCAGCAGGCAACTGCAGATATGGAAAAGGTTATGCATGTTGACATTGGGGCAGAGCAAAAGGAGCCTACAGTTACTGCTACCACTTCTGTAAAGTCCAGCAATGAATTTGGTTTGTTCACAAAACAATTCGTTAGGAGACATGGACTTCACTTGCTTGGCACAACCAGCACATGGTTTCTACTTGACATTGCATACTACAGCCAAAATCTGTTCCAGAAGGATATCTTCAGCGCCATTGGATGGATTCCTGCTGCCAAGACAATGAATGCAGTTGAAGAGGTTTACAAAATTGCGAGGGCGCAAACTCTTATCGCCCTCTGCAGTACCGTGCCTGGCTACTGGTTCACAGTGTTCTTGATTGACAGGATTGGCAGGTTTACCATTCAATTGCTTGGTTTCGCAATGATGACGGTGTTCATGTTTGCTCTGGCCATTCCGTACAACCACTGGACTCACCCTGGCAACCATATTGGATTCGTCGTCCTCTATTCACTGACCTTCTTCTTTGCCAACTTTGGACCCAATGCCACCACATTCGTCGTGCCAGCTGAGATTTTCCCAGCTAGATTGCGCTCGACTTGCCATGGAATATCAGCTGCATCTGGGAAGTTAGGAGCAATGGTGGGTGCATTCGGGTTCCTGTATTTGGCCCAGCCACAAGACAAGACTAAGGCTGATGCAGGATATCCTGCTGGGATTGGGGTGAGAAATTCCCTTATTGTCCTTGGCGTAATCAACTTTCTGGGAACACTTTTCACTTTCTTGGTTCCAGAATCAAAGGGGAAGTCACTGGAAGAGATGTCAAGGGAAAATGAGGACTCAACTGAGGAAGGAGCACAAGTGGAGAATCATCCATCTAATAACAGGACAGTTCCTGTGTAAAAGTAGTTAACTCTTTTCATTGTTTTTTTCTTTTTTTCCTTTTTATGTTCTGCAAAGGTTCCTACAAGTATGGATAAGGTCTATGTTCTTTCGAGTAGTACTATAGTTTCTTAAGTTCAAACTATTACCTCTAAGTGTAGAGGTACTTAGTTTCATGTATCTGTGTACGTAATTGTCAGCAGTTATGGAGTTCTATGTATCGTACAATGTATCTAACTTGACATGACTCCAGAGTTTGAGCATTAGATGATTCAAATGTAAGACTCAAACCATAATCCTTAATTTGAAGAGAAGTGGAGAATAAGGATTAGAGAGGATTCAGCCCCTTGCAGCCCATGCATACTATACTAGTTTGAGAACCATTGATATTATTATGCACTTCCTAAGTGTTCAAACATCTGAGAAAAAGCAAAACAATAGCAACACCATATACATTAACAAGCTAAAATGCGTAACTGGAAATCAGCTTTCCCAGATGCCATATTATTTAAGAAGAATTTTTCCTGTGTAAGAAACGGGGCCAACGATAAGCTATAAGCATTAATCATTATGATGGTATGGCCCTGCTAATGCTCTTCCCTTATTCTGGGGAAGATAGCTTTTGATGCAAGAGGGCTCAGTGAGCGCGGTCTTTCAGCACTTCAAGATCAACTTCTGTGGGATCAGTAGCCTGAATCTCATAATGAAAACCATCAAGCTCTCTTCTAAATGCGTCTTTGGAAGTGGCATAAAGCATCTTTGCACGAATACGAGATGTTGCAGGAGACCTAAGAAAACAAAATCAATGCAGTGAGAATGTGAGAGGGACAAAAGTTAAGCTGTTACTTATAGTTCACTGAGATGCTGGACTTGCACATCAATTCCATTGTGCTAGCTGAGTACATAGAAATCAAACGAACAAATATAGAGACAGAGGCAGAACAGTGGAAGCATATTCATAATTTCTCAAAACTATGCTCCCAAACCTTTGGCTTATCTTTGTTTCCTTTGCTCTCATAAATAGAGCACCCAAAATATTTTATAACTGCTTTGCTAGTGAGTCCTGAGCATAATCGATGTTCATAAAATGAGAATAAGACATGATCATAATCTCTCATAAATACAACCAAACTGATTTTCTTTTGGCATTTGGAAGTGGTGAAACTGAGCCAAACTTTTTGGCATTGAAAGAAATGTTCTTTTGATGACGAAGAAAACTTAACAAGCCGCATAACAATGAATGGCGCCCAGGCCGTCCAAGACATGAGTTCAAGAAATGTATATCGGCAAAAGATCAAACAGTAGCTGCAATCATACACAGATGAGAATAGGCAGAAGGAGGTGGGGGGACTAACCAATGAACAAAGAAAATCTTGCTCTTTTGGCAATTCTCTGAAGTCACAAAATCAAAGTCATACACTGCATATCGGCAATCATTTTCAGGCAAAGAAGCAGTAAAATCATCAAAGTTTTCAGCAGGGCTGCCAGTTTTCTCAACAATAACCTCCTTTTTCTTTTCATCAATCTTGAATATCACATATCGATGAACCTTCTTCCTCTTCAGCTCCAAGAATGCATTTTTTCCGTGATCAGCTACACCCATGCCAGAAGAGGCATTCGGCTGAATATCAAGGGAAAATCCAGCTTAAATTCAGTTTTTGACAAGTAATAATTAGAGATTTAAAGATTTCACATACCGAAGAAGCAAATGGATTTTAGTTCTTCACTAGAAAACTAAATTTAACTATTCAAATTTTTTATTTTTTTTAAAGAATAATGGTGGTATTAGGCTAAATTGCAGGCACCTTGACTATTTGTTCTGTACTTATTATTTTCACTAGGAGAGGTATCGAGTAATATTTACATATTTCTTGTTCAATATAATGAATAAATTAAGAATAGTGTTACATCCTAGTTGGGTGCTGTAACCTTATAACTTCAAAAGTTGTGCTCAACAGAAGCTCATAAGGATCAGGGTGTGACTGATCACTAACTTGTTTTCTATAACAGAAATACTACTATGGTGCTTAATTCAAAATTATCAAGGACCTAAAAATATTTAGCTAATCGAAGTAATTGTTGATCACGTGAAAGTACAAAAATCTCTATAAGCCTTGTGAACATACAAATTCATCAAATACATGAATAAACTTAGAGATAGAAACGTACCCCTCTGAATCTGAAAGACATGATTAACGTCTAAAGAAACTGGAGAGCAAAAAAAATGCACTACCCTTCAGAGAAAATGGGGAATATGGTTTGAAGGTGGTGTTGTTATTATTAAGATAAGAGGGAAAAAAGAAGATACTGCCAAAATGAAGAAAGTAACGTATTCTTTTCCCACACTTGTACTTTTCTTTTATAGAGTCGGTCCATTGTCTCTATCCAAAAAAGCCACCTTCTCAACTCAAGGACGGTGCGTTGCTTGAACGCTTCCCTTACTTTTTGCGATGCCAAACGCCATTTGACCATGCATTCATTTATCTTCATCACCACCCCTACCATATTCAAATTGCCTTTCCTCTACACTTTTGGCTGCTTTTTTATTTTAATTTTTCAGTAAGGAGATAAATCATCTGATACCAAAAGAAATAAGCGGCATAACACTTGGAATTGATTTTCTTCGTATCTTTTTTCTAAAGAGAACGTTAGATGGAATATCTCTTCGGAGATGATATGTTTGTAGATTAGAATCTCGCGCTTACGTAATAACAGAGGACAACATACCTACTCTATTATTACTACTATATGCTACAACTCTCGTACGCTCTGTTTGATACAACTAAATTTATGGGGTCAAATAGTTTTGTAGGTCTTTACAAACTTGTTTTTAGTTTTATAATTTTATCTCTTTCTTTTTATATGGAAAATTTCTTTTTACACGTAAAAAATTTATCTTTTACACATAAAAAATCTAAAAAAGATATTTTCTTAATTTCAACATTGTAAATGGCGATGAAGATTCATTCCCTCCTAAATTCACCCGCACTCGAACAAATAAGGCCTCGGAGACATTTAGTGTTATTACTATTATTGTTGAATAATAAAAGGACATTAATTTAAATTAACAAGCTACAACAACTGTAGCTAAATGAACACAATTTAAATCAATCTTCTTTCCAAAGTGTCAAATTCATCTTCTAAATAATCTCGTTTATACGACTTTAAGCTAAGATTTTGACAGTTAATTATAGGGATAGTTTCATAAAAGTACAACTGAACAAAATACATTTCAACCGCTTAGCCTAAAACAATATCTTCATCGGATGGCCCAATAAATATTAATAATCAGTTCTTTTTCTAGCAATATGATATCATTCACATGGTATGACAAGATTTTTTTTCACTCTCTCAGGATTACAACTTTTCCTTCCCTCCCCCCACATCCCCCGCATTCCCCCTCAAAATTTTTGTCTATGTCTTTGTTTCTCTTTCTTCCCCAACTTAAATACCAACAAATTATGTATTAAATAAATATTTTCTCCTATTTTCTCTTTTTCTTATAGCAAAACATGATTTTTTAATGAAATATTCCAATCTTCTATTACTCTTTTAAAAGGTTAATCATTTGGGTTTTCACATATTAAAATTGTTAATCAAAATTTAAATTAAAAGTGAAATTTTATGTGCAATTGCTAAGCAATCCAACAAGATAAAAGAAAAATCAAAATTTGATTAAAAAATTGTAGAATCCCTCTAGCAATATAAAAACTTTTTCATATTTCACATAAAGAAAAAGAAGAGAAGAAAGTAGCAAACTTCCATGGAGGCCTCTTATGTAATGACACTGTATCTAGATTCTTATAAACTAAAAAATATATAATTATATAGCATTATACATAAATATACACATTTATACATAAGTATACAATACCATATAACTGTATATGAACACTAGTTATACAATATTTTCAGTAGAAAATACATTGTGCCCAACACTACATTAACCGTAAACAATATGACAACTTGTATAAACATGTGTAATACTGTATAAGAGGTATTTATACATTCGTATACATTATTATACAATGTCGATACAAACTGCTACATGGTTATGATTTTTTATTCCAACTTTGAGTTGTTGCAGCATGTATTACAACTTTATGCGAACGATTCCGAATTTAATACCCACACAAGATACATCCATTTTTATCCGAGACTTCAAACTCCTAACAATCCTGATCCAAATTTCAAACTTCAAATTCTTCCAAAATTAGTGGTTATTTCTCATCGTAAATCAAGTTTGAGAGCTAAAGATTTCAGATCTACGTGGGTTTTCATTTTTCTTTCAAAATCTTCAATTCTTCTTCTCCTTGCCACCATCGAATTTGGCGGGCTTGGACGACAAACGAGGATCCTGAGCCAGAATTGTGTAGAGGGTAAGGGGAGGAGGAATAATGGAGGCTAGGGTAAGAGAGGATGATGGGATCTGTTTGGGTTAGAAAGAAAGAAAAGAGACGTGGTTGGGAGAGAATTGGAAATGAAGAAAAAAAGAAAGAAAAAACCTTTTAAGTGCTTTGGGCTAACCAATGAAAACTATTTTACAATATATGTACAATTTGGGTTAAATCGGGCAAGGACCTAAAATATGGGCCTAATTTTATTGATGTGTTGGGTCAACTGACAATGAAGGTAATTTTCTCTTAATCATAATAGTACCTACCATTTCATTGACAACTTCACTGAAAATTTCAAGTTTGGCAGGCTAAAAACTAAAACAATAAAAAGAATTAGAAAGTTGGCTCATCTTTCAGCAACAAAGAAAAGAAAAAGCAAAATGTTCACTAGGATACAATCTTTTTTTATCAGATGTCCCAAATGGGACTCATCAATACTAAAGAATTACAATTCAAGGCAGCCAAATATATTTGTACATATCAAATCTACCAATATCATTGTTCCAAATTGATCAACCTAATTCTGTTTTAATCAGAGTCCAAATTACATCAGATCTGGATCATCTTCATAATCATAGTCTGGTTCACTTGAATGCCTCATTCTCTTTGCATCTCTTGGACCTCCCCTTCCCTTCCGTGGTCTACCTCTGCAGAAATAGCCAAAAACAAGACTATCGTATCCAGAACTTGAAAAATACACTTTCGAGTATAAGAGAACAAGCAGTGAAAACTATCTATTTCACTCATCCAACAACAGTGGTTATAGGATAAAATTCACTACTTACAGTCCACTGGCAGATATCCCTCCAACATCCCGACCAAGAGCTTGTTCCTCAGCCTGAAAATGTGCAAAAAATGCAACTTTCATGTTCTTTGAAATATGGAATCAGCATTACAGCTTCATGTTAGATGAAATATGCATTTCGGTGTCATTCCACGACCATTGTTCCCCACTTTGAAGTAGACGGGGACATATCTTGTCTACTTTTTGGTTTCTTTCGGACAGGGACAAACAAGGAGGTTACAAGGAGAGGTTACAAGGAGAGGTTCCAGCAATTGCAATTTAAGTTACAAAGAGATGTTCCAGGAATTTTAATTAAAGGATGGAAGACAGGAAACAGTAAAAATGAAAAACCAACCACTAGTATCAAAACATCTTCAGAATGCTATCTGAGCTGCTTCCAAGCAAAATTAACCTATTTTTTAGTCCTCCAAATTTAATGGCAAAGCTCTGAGAACACTCAAAAAGGTAGGGATTCCTACATGGATGGGAGTGTGTAGTTTGTTGCTTGGTATACTCCTAAGTCCTATCTCTTTCTTTTCCGCTCTCCTTATATTTAACCCGTTCCTTTTCAACCAAAGACAAGTTCAAACTGCCTTTTTCCCTTAAACTGTCGCTACCCACTCAAATGGGTGATAGAGGACTTGTTCCCCTTAATCTACTTCACTGGTGGTTCATTTGAAAATTGATACCTCTCTGTTTCATCCTTCCTTTTTATTATTCATGTTATGCTCTCTTTTCATCCCTATCCTTTTTCAGGGTTCTAAAAGGAGAATGTCACATTGAAGTTCAACAGATGCACTAAGATCTCTAACTTAACAAAAGGACTATAAACCAAGGTGGTCAAAGACGAAGTGCTGGAAAAAGAAAAAAAAAAAACTTGATATTATTACAAACTAATGTAGAAAGTTTATCAAGAATTCCTAGCTTTACTTAGGTTCAATAAATCTTCTCGACGTTCATATGGGGAGCCCTAATTAGCCTCACAATCTCTAGACTTTTAAAAGATAGAGACAGGACAGTCAATAGCTAACGTACTATATCAAGTTTAAATCTTTACGAGAAACAAAGAGCAACAATTATTTTGTAAAACAGGGGAAAGAGAATATGTTCTTGCAACAATACAGACATAAACTTAGAGACAAACTAAATTTGGATATCATGCATAGAATCTCTGATGATATGATTCATAATGTATAAGATCCTAATGAAAAGATATAAATCCATCAACAGCATTCCAGTGTTCCTGTCGCTGAGAAATACAGAAAAATACATACTGCGGGTGAAGTGACAGACGATAAAGAAAAGAGTCGATCTTCAGGTTGAAACTTCCTGGATCGTTTCAAGCTGCAAAACAATTAAACAGAAAAAGGGTCATTTCCATAAAAAAAGCATATCGGTATTAGGTGAACCTAAAACTATATCCAGAAAATTGGAAATCTAAAGACACAAAGGGAGATTCAGTCGACTTGTTTTTATAACCGAAAAATCCCTGTGATTTAGTCTATTTGTAACATCATCATCATATTACTATAGTATTACAGTGCAATAAGCTAATGATGATGCCTTCTATTTCCTGGGAATACCAGTTTCAATAACAATTCCAACATCAAAATAGATGTTTACTACTTTTACTATTTTATATTCCAAAAATGCTAAAGTAAAAGTATATCCTACATGTTCCTCCAACAACCACTAAACAGCTCACTTTTCCAACTCTTTTCATAATAGTTGTACGAGTCAAAGTAAAAGAACGAAAATAGGATGGAAAAAAATATCTTAGTATGGTACAAATCCTCTGTACGATTATACGGGAAGTACCTCGAGATCGCCTTTTTTACCTTCTAGGGCCTATTTACTAACTAGAGTCAAGGAATTAGTAGATCTGCTTAGCCCAAAATGGGAACGGGCTAGGGTTATGAACTTATAATCTAACGACCTAAGATGAATTAGATAGGTTTTACACTTCTCTCAAAGAAAGAGGAAAGGTTGGTAGTTCAGGCTTCAGATGGATTCAAGGATATATTCAATAAAACATAGCTTCCTCTGAAATAAACATACTTATTTGATTGACGTTATCGGTGGTGTCTGGGCTAGCTTGCATACATTTCCACTATTCCACCGGACAGACTATCCAATCCACAAGCA